GGTGGAACGTCTATTTCAATTTCAAACTCCCTCATGTATATTGCGGTGAATGTCTCTTCGAACCACACCGCTTTCCAGAACGCCTGCACTATGGGTGTGGTGACCGTGAGTCTTCCCCGCCTAGTGAGGAAGACCTCGCCTCCCATCAGCGCGTATGCTCTCACGTCAACAGCTATTCCAATCTTTCTCCCCCGATACGCAGCCTGCCTGAGATCATCCGTCAGCCACTGCGGGGTTCTCTCATGGGCGTATATTATCTGTGGTATGTCCTTCAGCGGAGTAGGCTCAGCGCTGTACTTCGTCCAATGCGGTATTAGTGCTACGTCATACGCATTGAGCACGTTCTCCCCAGAGTCTCTATGCCAAATATCCAGGACGATGTTGAAGTGTCCCGCCGCCTCAGGGTATATTGTTCCTCTTCTTGCACAAAATGCCCAGAATTCATCTGACATCACCATGTATGCGGTCTCCGGTAGGCTACCAGGAGCTACCTTCACCCACAGCTTCCCATCAGCCGGTCCTCCGGCGAGCCGTGATATGAGTTCCTTGTCCTTGGGGCGTCTCATCTCGCTCGCTGGTCTTATGCTATAAATTTCCGATATTCGTAGCTGATCATCGCTCCCTTTCCCAACCTTTCCTTCAACTTCCACTCCATACTTCTGTGCCAGGTATGCAACTCGATACTCATCATTCGGTCTCATGGGATATGTTGAGCGTGCCTCAAGTTCTGTTCTCACAACTTCCCACGGTATTCTCGCGCCTGCGAATGCCTCATAGAACGTCTTGTCTTCGAACAACGTCGGGGAATGCATTTTGGCAGCGTCCATCATCTGTGTCTTGACCTTATTTCTGTACTGGCACCTCTCTCTAAGGTCATTCGGGTATTCCTCGCTGCCCCATGCCGCGATCTCTGCTACCAGCCTTGCCATTTCCTCATACACCATATTCGGGTATGCCACACCCACTCTCGTGATATCCGAATCTATTCCCAATTCCCGCATGGAAGCACCTGTCCACGGTACGACGATATTTTCAGTAGCCTGAACTGGGTCATATGCCATCGCCTCTCTCAATTTCAGAGCGAACGGAGATATTACCGTATTAAACGCCTCATGGAGATCAGGGTATTGCGTAATCACCTCAGTGGCTTCAACAATGGGAGGAATCTCCTTGACGACTCCTCTCTCCAGTTTCACCTTATCGCCGTTGTCGTCCACAGTGAAGTCCACGAAGTCTCCCCACCGACCAGGGCCTACATCTTCACTTGACGCAGTATACCCTCGCAACAAGATTTGGCGATTTGCCGCTGCCATACCTGCGGTATTTTGTTTCATCACTATTCTCGCATTCCTTTCTACCATTATTAGCGGGGTGGCTTCATAGATCTCACTTTTCGAACTTCTAGTGAACTTGAAGCTTTCGTCCATGACCCGCTGCTGGGCCTCCTCGGAGGATGCGATATTGTTCCTTTCATTCGGCCTCATATGACTGGCGGCTAATCCTTCCAACGGTCGGCCGCTGAAACCCAGATATTCAATCACTCTTTTGGGCTCTACATTCCTCTGGAATTCAGTCGTGCGAAGACGTGGTTCTCCACCAACCGTGATATCTGATGGTCGGTTGTCCTTGCCTTTGGCGTATTGCTCCACCGCTCCGACTCTGCAAGTCTCCTCTTCCGTCGCTTTCTTCACAGGCGGACTTCTAGTCTTCTCTTCATCTTCTCTGGGGCCTCCACGCTGTGTAGTCCTACCCCTCGTTTCCTGATCATTATTCACTTGGTCCCCTGTCCCGCCCGTGGTTGTACTTGACGGACGTCCTGGCGTGCCTGTATGATCTGCAGTTCCAGTGGTACCTTTCCCGGTTGCTGCTGCTGCTCCGTCCTGAGTATCAGATGACGTCTGCTTATTATCTTGCGAGACATTCTCGCCTGTCGCGCCAGTCGATGCTTCTGTTGATGTCCTTGCCCTCCCTGCTATATTCTGAGCCTGGGCTATTCTCTCCGCAGATTCCAACTCGAGTATTCTCTGCTCAGCCGCCGTCAATTTGTCCCTCATATCCCCGATGGTCTTCCGTCCTTCCTCATATTCCTGACGCATTCTTTCCAATTCTATTATCTTAGCTCTCAGCTTCTCCATTTCCCGCTTGAGGCTGGTATTCTCATCTTCCATCGCGTCAGCTTTCGCGATGGCCTTCTCTTCCGCCTCCCTGCTCGCTTTGACGGCTTCAGCCTTACTGTCGTCGTCGTCATCATCTCCAATTTCTGCGAGCCTTTTGACCTTCTCCTGCGCCTGCTTGAGGTTCCTCCTCAGCTTCCGATCGTTATCGGTAGCTTCGACAGACAGCTTCTCCATGTCAGCGGTGAGCCTCTCCACCTGTTTATTCTTGAGCTCCAGCAGCTCCTCCCTCTGCTTGTCTTCGAGATCCCTCGTATTAATCGCCTTCGTGTAGTTGGACTTCATGTCTGCTATTTCGATCTGGTACGCTGCCTCTATTGCCTTCAGGTCCTCCAGCGTTTTCTCTTTGGCCATGACAGCTATGTGCCATTCCTTCTTGAACTTCTCAACACGGTCCTCTTGCTCTTTCTTCTCAGCCTTCAACTTTTCGACGACAGAAGATTCGGTGCTCTTCTCCTTTTCGTTCAACTGATCTTTCAACCATGCACCATTCTCTCGCAGAGTATTATTATTCGCCTCCAGCTCCGCGATCTTGGTCTTCAATTCCCGAATCGCCTGGTTATTCGCGGCTTGCATTTCCGCTCGTGCAAGAGCATCGCTTTTCAGCTCGGACGCAGCGCCCTTTGCCATCTTCTCTATTTGCTCAGACATCTGCTTGTTGCGTTGGCACAAGTCAATGACCGTCTGCTGCGCCGTCTCATACTTCTCCCAATTTTCCTGCGAGATGATCTTCAGCCTTTCGACATTTTCCCTCGCAACAGTGGCCTTTTCCCTCCACTCATCTCTGTCCTTTATTATGTCTTCCCTACTCGTGCTGGCATCGGCCATGGTAGCATCGGACGTCTTCCCCTCCTTATTCGCCTTTCTTCCTCCATGAGCTGTGTTTTCAATCGGTCGGTGGCCCACTTGTGTCGTTCAACCTCACCGGCCATCATAGCGATCCGCCGTATTAGCTTTCCCACCAGCTCTGATGCCTTGGACCCATCCGTTGTCGCTTCCAACTCGTCGAGTTCTAAGTCCTGATATTTTCCTTTCCATGCTACCAGATCCTTCAATTCGTCAGCCTTGTAGTATTTCTTCACTTCTTCGTCCAAATCAATCGACTCACTCGCCTCTGTCTTCCCAACAGTAGCCATGTAGAGCCTAGACGCGGTAGCTTCCAGTCGATATTTTAGCTGACCTATACGGATCTCTCTCTCCTGAAGAAGTTCAGCCATATTCTGATTCTCCTTTCCCTTCGTCACTACCTGGACAAACTCATCCGTCACTTCCCTGACTATTCCGACCATCCTACGCCTGGCGAACCCAGGATTGACGCGCTTGAAGTGCCTTCCGAACGATACTCTCGACCCGTCTGGTGATCCCATATCCGGCATGGCACGATCTGCTGACGTTCAACTCGTTCCATACACCCCAGGGGTCGCCACTCTGTGGCTTATCATCGGAGAAGCAGGAACTTGTCCGAGCTCCAGTATTATTCCTTCACCATCATGTTCGGCCCTCTTTATCGTCACCGTGGCATATCTGTCCTGGTCTCCCCTATGCCTAAGCGTCGACGGCCCCATATCCAGCATGCCGTCCACTCCTCCATAGCCCTCCGGCATCCGGATATTCTCGCGTTTCTCCCTAAGGTCCAGTCCTCTCATGTTCTCCGGCTGACCTGTCAATATTAGCCCGGCTGTCATGGATCGCATTATCTCACTAACCGTGGATGCAAGGAGCTCGGGGTGCTCTCCTGGCAACATTGGATCTTTAAGACCCGGGTCGCATTCCACAGCTTCAAATGATATGGTTCCCAAGTTATACCATGTGACCGCCTCGAGAAGAGCTCCCCAGTAGTCCTTCAACTTTATTAAGATGGCCAACGCCATTCCCTGCTGGGGGTGTATTATTCCCAACTGATTCGCGAACGCAGCAGCCGACGTCAAGAATGCCACCACAGTGTGTAGCAACGATATGGCCTTGTGTTGTTCGACTATCTCCGGTTTCCATCCGGTCGCCATACCCGACGCTATGTCGCATGTCGCTTGATCCACCAATGCTATTCTCAGAGAGCTCGCCGCAAACGCCCTGACCAAATCAATATTAGGGAAATATTCAGTTCTTGCACTTCTATGATCCGTTGGGTCCTGATTGGGGTTGCGCCTATCTCCTGTTCGCGACATCTCTGCCATCCTCCCGAGCACCATGCCCCGTTGCATATTCGAAAGGTATATTCTCGGGTCATATTGATGAACTCCCGGGATTTGACCTTTGAGCCTTTCCCACTGTACCCAGGCCGTATGCTGTACGCTTGTATTTCCTGCGGCATGAATGGCCCACGACTGTCCTGCCTCGACTGCGTCGTTGATGGCTTCCCAGGTGGTTCTTCGGCGCTCCTTCCTGTACATGAGCTTCACCCTGGGCAGTTGTCGCCCCTTCCAATCCTGCTCCTCCTCGCTTCCCCCTGGACGGTCGCCTTCTTCTATTATCTCTTTACCTTGCTCCTCCTCGACCATCTTGAGGTATGCGTAGAGCCTCGTCTCCTGTCTGCTTGGTTCCGCACCCTTCTTCCTAATTACGCCCAGCAACAGGTGCTGAAGCGGCACTCTATCCTCTACTGCCGGTTGCGTTCTTCTCGATCTCTTCAACTTTTCTCGCGCTGCTTCTCTCACTTGCAGTGCGTATTCGCCCAACGTCGTCATCGGATCGATATCGTAATGCATGATAGCCTTATTAATAGGATCAGCCAACGATGGTGCATTAACTTGCATCAGTCCACTTATTAGTGCATCAAAAGTCACGTCTCCGAGCACACGGTTTATTAGCTCCTCCAGCTGCCAAATGCTAAACGGGTATGAGTGGATATGGTTCTCCATCCACTGTCTTCATCATTCCGCCGTTCACCAACTCTTTGGCCATCTTCATTATTATGTCCATCACGTCAAGCTTTGCCTCCGAAGAGTTTGCAACAATCATCCCTGCTGCAACCAATATTTGATGTGGCTCAAACATGTCAATCTCATCCCACGGTACTCCCTCCGCGGCTAGCCTATCCGTCAACCTCGCCAATATGAGACGCGGGTCCATAGGGTGTAGCGGCGAGCAAAGGGTCACAACCGCTCTCATCATCGCAGGGGGTGGCCCCTTTTGCAATATTCCTTGCAAGTTCACTTCCTGAAGCTTCCTACAGCGTGGGCATCTTGCGCCTTCCCTCGGAAACTCTTCTCCTGTATTCGTGGCCACCGCATATCCCATCCACCATGCGAAGCAGGTGCCGCAGTGGAAGCCCCACCGCAGGTTCTTCATCCACTCGACTGGCGCCGAGAAGTTGTCGAGCCCGAGCCCCTGCGCTATTATCTCTGGTGATATCAGCTTCTCTGTCACCTTGTATACCGTTTTGTCCTCGTCAGCCTCCCATTCGCTATAGTTCTTCTTCATCCACCCTAGCGGGAAGCTATCACGGCTCTGGTAAACATCCTCTATTACGCTCTTCCTCTTCTCGTCGATCTCACCAGTATCATACTTGGCCTCATCATCGTCCGCAATCCCGCCCGGGTTCCCTCCGAACAACAAGCTTCTGGGCGCATCCCCCGCCTCAGCCCTAACTAAGATGTCATCATCAGATTCTTCGTTCTCCTCCGGCTGATCATCCTTATTATCCATCTCTTCATCGTCGTTTTGCTGGTCCTTGTCATCCGAGCCGCCGCCCTTGTCCCCGCCGGAGCCCTGTCCTCCGGAGCCGGCATCGCCGCCGCTTCCCTTTCCCGGATCTCCTCCGCCCGTCATCTCCTCGTCGGGCTTCTCGGGCTCCTGTTCTTTCGGGGTTATTCTCAGCTTCTCTCGTTCCGTCCCCTGCTCCAGCGTTATTTCCTCCCTCTCCCGTGCCCATGGGCTGATCATCATTGTGATGTTCCTCTGCGTTCTTCTTTGTCTCCGTAGCATGACCCTCTGGAATGGCCGGCGTCGCCTTATTACTCTCTGCGGCACCGAAGATCGTCCTCACCGCCTTGACATTCGTGGACACCGCCCAATCTGTCACCGTGCTCGGGTATCCTCCCATTTCCTGTCCTATTCTAGTGATAACTGCGACGATCTCTTGATACGCCTTATCACTTATCATCAGCATCTCCAAGACCTCGTGTCTGTCTCTCTTCAACACAATGTCTCTCGCTGCCCACCATGCCACGGTCTGGGCCAGGAAACCAGGCATTTCCTTTTCACCGCAGATCCTTGCCATTAGCTGTGCAGCGTGATATCCCATCGCTATCATCAGAACATATTGGTAGTCCTCTTCCTCAGTCATATTCAATCCCCCAGTCGCGTTTTCCCTTGATGGCAATTCCTCTACGGCCTTGGCCGCATCGACAATGTCGTCAAGATCCCCCATACACAAAGTTCTTCCCTCGTGCGCGACAACATTCAAGGTTTGCCTTAGCGCGTCATGCACTGTCAGCACAATATTGCTCTCCCACATGTGCAGAATATCCAGAGTCCCTGCCTCCAATTCGGTCCTATTCGGTTTGCTATTAAAGATTTGCATCCGGCATTTCTGCTCTATGTCAGAGGCATTATCCTTTCCGAAGTCAACAGGTGGCGGCTGCTGCTTGTCTTCGCGCTCCTGGCCTACACTATTTGCGACTCCTGTGCTCTCATGACGCGTCTCTTCACCCTCTGATCTCGTGCGCAGCTGAGGCCTCTGCACCAAGACCCCACTTGAATTCACATATGAGTCAGATCTGAATATTCCCATCATTTTCGTCCATCTCCTACCGAAGTCTACCAAGTATTGAGGAAGCTCCTGTCCAGACTCATATCTGTATGACGCGGACTTCGCATTCAAGATAGTACGGAGCACTTTTGCAGTCTCTGATCGTTCTGCGACCCCAGCCTCAGCTCTCGTGATCCTCTTTTGATCTTCAAATCCGCCCCTTATGACATCATACACCTGTTCACATGTCAGATCCAACGGCGTACCAGTGGGCAGTCTCTCCTGCACGAACGCCTTGATAACAGCTATCAGTCCCTGGCGCCATTCCGTCTCAGAATTCACCTTTGCGAACTTCAGCCATGATTCATACCCAACGTAATACCCGGCGATCACGTCTCCTATTCCATTGTGCTTGTTCCACGTTATTTCATGCTCTGCCTCTGGGTTCAAATCGTCGTAGAATCTGACCGCGCCCGAAGCTACTCCTGCGTTGGCGCTGGCACCATCCACCTGAACCCTGATATTCTCCAACTGGTCCCCTGTGTGAGCCATTCCGTCGCCGAAATTCACCGCACCTGCCATATCATCGTCCGTTTCAGTGTCACCAAGTGGTCCGAACCTGCTAGCTCCCCCTAGTGGCTTCGCTCCCGGATCCCTTTGCCACCTGCCTCCTGGCTTATTAAGATCCTTCATGCCGTGGATGTTCGGTCCGGAGCTCGCAGAAGGAGTGGGGAAAGCCGCCCCTGATCCTGGAATGGGAGGAGCTGGCGGTCTCGTCTTTTCCATATTACCCAACGCCAATCCTGTATATGATTGGGCTTCCGCAGAGGCTTCTTCTTCTCTAGCCCTCTGCACGCTCAGAGGTGGCGCCTTGGCTTTCGCAGGCCCAGGGTTGGGCGGCGGCGGCATAGGGTTCGCTTTATTCTTAGTCGTATCCTTCTCCTCGGCCCCTTCCCTGCCTCTACTCCTAGTGGCACTTCTTCCCCTCGGTTTCAAGCCTGTGAGGGTGGTATCTGTCTCGGAAGTCTCCTCCACCACCTGACCTCGCAGTTTCTCATACACATCATCACTGATCTCCATATTCGCACAAGGCACCGTAGCGGCTATTAATGCGTACCACTTTTGCTGGACCGATGTGACTGCTTCACTCACCTTCCTATTCGCCACCTCTATCGCAGACCATAGGGAATGAACAGCCGCGCTTGAAGCAGAGTACGGTTTCATGTGTGGAACCTTATGCAAATCGTCCCGGGTAGCGTCCCACCTGCTCATTGGGGTAACGACTTGAGTACCACCCGATGCACTTGCCTCTATTACCTTTGCCCATCTTGTGATCCAGCGAAGAATGGAGGTTGACCACTCACTTCCAGACATAGGTCTTACCACTTCTGAAGTATACGGACTTCTCAGCTTGGTCATCCTCGGCAGATCATTCGGCATCGGCCATAGCATGGCAAAGAATGCCAATACGGCGTATTGTTGCACACCTCCTTCCCAGTAACCTTTCGACAGTCCGTGTTCCCCAGCGACTGAGACAATCCCAAACTTCGGTATTCGAGGCACCAATGTGGAAAGCGGCACGACTAACACTTTATACCGGACCAATCCTTGGACAAACTTGGCGTACGCTGCCATAGCGTCGTTCCCTGGGACATATCCTCCGCACTGGTCTTTCGTTCCGTATCCAACCCAAACCATATTAGCGTTCGCCTTCGCCAGGAGGTCCTTCAGCTCTGGCCATTCGCCTCTGTCATCATCATCTGCCCCTGTCTTCTTATTCGAGCTACTTCTGCGGTGTTTCAGGTCATTGCATGTCTGAGTTTCCTCCTTCTCCATCACATTAACAGGAGCAATGACCACCATGACATTCGCAGTCCTATTCGTCTCATCCTTTCCTACGTCCATCGCCACGAGCTGCTTCTTGATTTCCTCCAGCAGTGGTTTTGACCCCTGTTGACAAAACACCACATCTCCCAGCTCAATTGTGCCCGAAATCTCTCCAAAGTGTGCCTTTATTAGTGTCTTCACTGCTTCTCCATAAAGATATGTTTCCAGCAGCGTTCCACTCTTCACCGTGAGGGCCATATTCTGCGGCATTATAAAGTACACCTTGGTGACGCTGTTGGGCTGGATCCTGCGACGCAAAGGTGACATGCCACCTGTCGCCCACAGAGCTATCAGATCAGCGGCTTTGCTCCATCCATATGAACAAGCGTAGTCAAACATCCATAAGTATGTTTTCATATCCTTTATCATATTCTGGCCGTACTCAAGGTTCTCCGACCTCGACCCGAACTTCGCCATTCCAACTCCTATTATCGCAGCCCACGCTTTGGCGGCATGCGTCCAGTCTTCATCCACATCAGTCTCCGATTTCCACTCCCTATCATCTTCCTTCTCTTCGGCGGTGTATCTAAGTCGCATGATTTCGGACAATATGCTCAAATCATCTGCCACCTCCGAATCCTCGTCTATGCGTGCACACGCCTTCTTCGCTATCGTGATGTCGGTCAAGCATCTCCTCAATATTCCGAATGGTATGAGCGACGTCCATGGCATCCTCATGGGGGTATTCGACGTGGCTCCGTCCTTCAAGTATTCAATGAACCTTGTCTCGCCTCTACCGCTCTGTTCATACTCTTCGAAGTATTGGGCCTTGCCTCTTATCCCAGCCGCGCTAGCCGCCGATCCGGATCCAACCATGTCCGCCACGCTGCGCTTCGCCATGGCTCTGGTCTGGGCCGCTATTAACCCCTATGCCACAGCACACGAAGGGCAAGAACACGGCTAGCAACCCTCGGACGTCTCAGCTATGCTATTTGAATCCTTCAGGCGTATCATATTATCGTGCTCTTCGCACCATCGTCTGATATTCATCCTGGGATTAATCCCCTTGCGAAAAATCGGTTTGGTGTTGTGAGGTGTCATGACCATGTAGCTGTCTTCGTGCAAGTCTTCGATGACTACACGTCCAGGTATTCGAACCAAATGTATGCGACCGCCCACAAATCTCGTCACACTGTCTGACACAAAAGACTGTGATCCACACAACAGCATGCATTCATGTTCTTGTGCTCCACACCAGTATGCAATATTAGCAAACATATCAGCAAGAACCTGTTCTTTGTCATCCATTTTGAACTCCATGCCGTGAGCTCTATGACGAGGCATTTCCCTCGCAACTATGATCGACTTTCCTCTAAGACTATCCTTCGCCTCGTCGAAGCCAAAGACAGGAGATTCTTTGCTCGAAGTATCAACCTCTATGAGGTCCCAACATCCCACATGAACAACTCTAAGCCCAGGAGTATCATTATTCAGAGCATTCGAATCTCCAGTATTTTGGGATACCCCCCGGCTCACCGGCATGGCGTTCAAACCTTCTGATATGGACTTAAAGGTATCAGGGTGGAAATGTCCGGTGGTATACATGTCTCTTAGCCATTCTCGGGATTCATGAATAGCCTTGCTCATCATATTGGCGGCTTGATATTCAGTAGGGCAATTAATGAACTTGAACAATCTAGCTTCGTAGAACTGCTTCCTCGCAATGTTTCTCCCAGAAACCCCCCGCATCCGGGTGTCCGTATAAGGCCAGCTTCAATGGAACAACAGGATCTTCAATATTATGCCAATGTTCCGGCCATCTCTCCTTCGGTATTCTTACCCAAGTTCGAGGTCCGCCAAGACGTGCCTGCGTATAAGCCGATTCTCCATCAGACATTTGTATTATGTGTCCGGGGAGCATTCCGTACGCATCAGCCATTTTACCAGCCTCAAGGGTAGCAGGGCATGATGTGATCTCCTGAAATATCGCCCATCTGCTATCCTGGTCTTTGACGTTGCATCCTTCAAACACAACACGACCTTTATATTTGCGCAATGGATCATCTTCGGGAAGCTCCCAGTTCTTCTCTACACATATGTCGAAGATTCTTCCCACGTGAGTAACTTCACCGGTAGACTGAGCCTCCCTTGAGACGTCCTTCCATGATCGAACAAGGTCCATCTCCCATACCTCCTGGAGCATAAGCTTATTCCATTCTTTATCTAAAGATGCACGTGCCTTCGGATTCACCGCTCTTTCCGCCTTAGTGACCGGCCTGGCCACCAGTGCCATAACGTGCTCATATTCATCCTCGTCGTCTTCTATTATTATTGCCGCGGCTTCCTGATATAATCCATCTTCCCCGTCGCTAATGCCCGCCGTATCCAAGTCCTCTTCGGAGCACAT